ATGTGCCTCTGCGGGGTGACCGGACGCTCCGGTCAAGTTGACCGGACGCTCCGGTCAGTTCAACCCGCACACCCGTGTTTAAGTGTTGACCGGACGCAGGCAGGGTCCGGTCACCACTGACCGGACGCGTTCGGTCGCAAATAACCCTCACTGGAACCTTTCTGGAGTGGACCGGACGCGTCCGGTCGCATATTCTCTTCTCTGGAACCTTACTAGAGTCGACCGGACGCTGGCCCTCAGCGTCCGGTCACTTGACCTCTCCAGGGCCCTGTCGCATCGGAGCCAGCGTCCGGTCAGTCTTTGACCATCCATTCACTTTCAACTCTCAATCATATGTGAATGAAGTTTGCTCCAAAGGATCTTAGTCATATTTAGGAGCTACCTAGTGCTAGTTTTAACAAGTGTGCACCACACCTAACTCACTAGACTCACCTAGGTCAAGCTACCCGTCCATACCCCCCTTAATAGTACGGTCAAAGGAAAAACAAAGTACTAAACTACTCTAAGTGTCTCTTCAACTCCAAACGGCACTTAGAACTAGTCATCCTTAACCTTGTCGTCCATCCTTTGAAAACCGAAACGATTTCCATCGTAGGGGTATGACAACCTTGATTGCCTAATCGATCTCCATTATCGTGACCTAACTTAATTGCCTCTGCAAAACACACATTAGTCATAGTAATCTTATATTGTCATTAATCACCGAAACCCAATTAGGAGCCTAGATGTTCTCAATAACATGAGACGACGTTGACGCCCTCCAGCAGTCCATTCCAGGAGGAGTGCACATTGCACAATGCCCATATATATCTCTTCAAACCTTTGCACCACCTCGTCGGTCGTCTTTGGCTTCCAAAAAAAAAACCATCAAGCATCGGGCGGCCGTTGTGTTGTGCACCTAAGAAAGTACTTGTACTAGTAATTAATCGAAGCAAGTAGTATTAGCTCCTCCATCTGTCTTTTTTCCGGTGGCATCACGTCGATCATGTTCTACCACATCATCGAGCCTTGTTTAGTTGGCGAATTCGGCCCCGCCGATTCATTGTGCGTTCTTGTCAGAAGCGTAATGTAGCATTTCGTTTGTATTTGGTAATAATTGTCCAATCGTTGACTAATTAGGCTCAAAACGCGTTAGTCTCGCAAAGTACAACCTAATCTGTGCAATTAGTTTTTGATTTCGTCTACATTTAGTACTCCATGTATGTACCACAAGTTTGATGTGACGAGTAATCTTCTTTTTGCATAGTGCCAAAGTTGGGAGTTAGGAGCAACTAAACAAGGCCCAGATATAAAGTAGACTATGGCTAATAATTTATCTTGTTGTTGACTACTCTCTTTGTCCTAAACTAGTTAACACTTCAGCTAATTATTTGTCGAGATTCATAGCTAAAGTGTCAACTATTTTGAGATAGAATGAGTATATGCTAGTGTCATTTTACCTATATGGCCGGTCTATCGGTGTACTTAGTTAGATCTTAATATATGTTAGGGTTTGTGGAGCTAGACGGACTAGCAGGGTACAAGGGCATGTTTTGCAATAATTCACTTCTCTATATCCCAAATCCAAATTTTATAGCGCAATTATTGACATTGTTATATTGTTTTGTGGCATGTATATTTATCTGTATGTCATGAAGGTTTTGTAAGATGAAGTCGACTGATTTGAAATATTTGTTAGAAAGAGCGAGCGGCACTAGAGGGTGGTCGATGGATCACATAGTCTCCAGCATTTACTCAAATTTATACCACCGTATATACTTTTGTATTTACTACTTCCATGTTGGGAATATCCAACTCAAAAAAAATCCTGGCTCCACCACTAGAATTCGTTCTCTTCCACAATTTGACTTCAGTAAGGCTAGCTGATGTAGCCATCTATTCCAATTGTTCTGATTTCAGGTCCAACTGCGTCACAGATTTACGCAATTGTTCTGATTTCGGGTCCAACCGCATCACGGATTTACGTTGCACTCGTCCATAAATCGATCTCCTCGGACAAGAAACCTCTTCCAGTACTTCTTGTAGTCCGGTATACCTAATTCAAGCCAAGGTTTCATGTTGCCATTGTAGTGCAATGATGCAGATCTCCGCGCAACCTCTTCATCAATTCCATAATCATATCCAAGTCCAGCAAGGGTCAATTTTTCATCTAGGGGATATATTAGATGTTGCAAGGATAGCAAGCTTAGAGGAAATGCTGCTGCTCGCAGGGACAGCTCATCCTTGACTTTGAACTGTAACAAAACAAGAATAATGAGATAAATAACTAGCTAACAATATGAAGAAACATCTGAAATACACTAAAACATACTATCGTTTTCAAAGTTCTATTGGAGAAAATTCAACGAAAAATGAAAGAAAGCAAACTATTTGATGGCACTGAAAATTTCTTTCAAGCCTGTAAAACATGCCAAAATAGAAAGGCATACCACCTAATGCAAGCATCCCTTTTTATAACATTCTATAGCATGAATTTACTGGCCTGGAACAATACTAACCTTTTCATGAGCAACAGATAGTTCTCAGTAACATTATGCTCCCTCCATTTATCCAAATTAATCAAATTCACCCCTGACATCCATGCACACGACTTGGGATCATATGCTGTTTTACCCAAGACATTTTTCATTTCACCCAGTTTCAGACCACAAAATTCGACAGCGCCATTTACCTTGTCTCCCATATCAATATTCCACAAGAAAGACAGATCACGTTGAACAACTACATCGTCATCCAACACAACCACCTTGTTTAGATACTTGAATATTTCTGGAATAATGAAATGTGAGTGGCTGAAAAGTGACAGGTATTTCATTCTTGTGTTTTCAGTAGGCTGCTTAATGCTCCTAATGAGAACACGGAACTCCTCTGGCAAATACAGCTGCCAGATAGTATACTTTGGAAGTCTCTCCAAAATAATGGCCTCGTAGTTTAGGACATGGATAGCTGCATTTTATATATGAATTCCTGGCAAACCAGTGTTTCATGGCATAGAAGTTCTGAGCATCAGTTAGGATATGAAAAGCAAGGTAGCCTGGCTCCTGCAAAAAGACCAGTGAGTATGCTGGGGATGCACAGCTCAGAAGATAGTGTATAGATTTAACATTGTAAATATCAGCCAAATACCTTACAACTGGTCACAGTTGAGTTGATCACTACAGAAGCCGCAATAACGCTCCTAGATAGTATAACATAGTGCCTGTATTCTGGACTACTGAACTTGCCAGGAGAATCATCAGAATCCAATGAAGATGATTTGAAATATTCTAGTGTCAACCTCATAGATAGGCAATGATGACTTTTCGGCAATGTCTGGGCACCGAGATTGTAGAGGAATGCACTCTGCTTCATATGAAAATGAGCTTCATCCTCAGTCATATCAAGTATCTGCATGAAGCTTCCTGTCAACATTCTTACAATCTACTGTGCAAGATTTGGCTCTCACTAATGTTCGCTCCATCTGCTTCATCCTTCTGTTGATACTGAAATCACAAAACAGCTTGTCATTCAAATTATCTAAGTATTAAGCCCTACTGATGATTGGAAATAACGCCCTAGATTGAATTAAATCTCCTTGTCTCTTTAAGACATAAATATATTCCCTAACGGGCATTCAGAAAAAAAAAATAGATCATCTTAACTTATAGGACACCCAATTCAATGTAATAAAATTTGTTCTTATAGTAACATAGTCATCGCACAATCAGCTTTAACACTAATCATCACACGGAACTATGATCTTAAGAAGTAAAATTTAATTCTTACAGGGATGGTAGATCAGCATCAACTGTTGATACACTAAGAATCCTTTCATGGTCTTGTATGTTTTGCTTCATTTCCTGAGTCAGAGCTTCCTGTCCTTGAAGTTTTGCAATGCTTGGATAGTATGAGCGTGCTACGAAGAGTTGATCTTTTAGCCTTTTCACTATATGATCTTTCATTATTTCTTTGTGCTCAATGGACCAGAGACAATAACTCCCAAATTCAAGTTGACAAGACTTTGCCTTTTCCACTTCATCAGCCTTTTCACCTTCTTGGCTAGCATCCTGAAAGGACAGGTTGCGTTTTGGCGAACATCAGCACAACTCAGGCTGCAAAAGATCAGGTGGAACTAGAAAGAACACTGATAGAAAACACGAGGTTACGCTTTGAAGAAAAATGTATAGGGATGCACTATATTCTACTCAAGATTGTCACAACACAAGTTAACTTTTACATTATTGGATTAGTTAAGATGATTGAACCTTGATTGCTTCTGCTGGGTTTCAACTCTAGCCTACCCCAACTTGTTTGGGACTTAAAGGCTTTGTTGTTGTTGTTGTTGTGGATTAGTTAAGATGATGGGAAATTATTCAAAAAGTTGCATCATGTAGCCTATGATCTTAGGCGTTTGAGCTGAACAGAATTGATATATGACCATTTTAGTGTGTGTATTTCTTTTGCGTTACATGAAAAGTTTGGTAACGGAAGGTGTCTTTTTTTCTCGAACATGTAGGAGAGCTGTGTATCTTTATATTAAAGAGAAAGAACGGACCCTTAGAACACAACCCCAACGAAACAACAACAAAGCTTTTAAGTCCCAAACAAGTTGGGGTAGGCTAGAGTTGAAACCCAGCAGAAGCAATCAAGGTTCAGGCACGTGAATAGCTGTTTTCCAAGCACTCCTATCTAAGGCTAAGTCTTTGGGTATATTCCATCCTTTCAAGTCTCTTTTTATTGCCTCTACCCAAGTCAACTCCGGTCTTCCTCTGCCTCTCTTCACGTTACTATCCTGGCTTAGGATTCCACTACGCACCGGTGCCTCTGGAGGTCTCCGTTGGACATGTCCAAACCATCTCAACCGGTGTTGGACAAGCTTTTCTTCAATTAGTGCTACCCCTAATCTAGTTTCAACCCCAACGAAAGATGTCTTAAAATAAGAAAATTGTGAAATGACATGAAGTACTGAAGTAGCAGTTCTGAAACAACAAAGTACAACTTTGAAAGCTAAAGATCCATACTCTTGCGACTTTAGTTGAATCCGTCACATCCTTTGATGGTTCAACTTTTGGTGCTGGAAGAACTGCATATGTTAGCAATTATTGAGTCACATGTAAGGAAAGGCAAAATAACTACAACATCAGACATGAAAAAAGATGCCCACAAAAAAATGATAAGGGCCAACTACCACTAAATAGCTTTGACCAAGTGCCATTAGACATTAGTGATAAAGACAACTTTATGATAGTCAACATAAGCAAGATAGCTTGTTTGTCTGGACTCAAGCGATAGTTGGATAAAAATAATTGATGGTAGGTTCTAAAGTAAATCTTGGAAAAGAGAGGGAACCAAGAGGAGGGAAATGGAAAAACTAACTTGACAGCTGAAATTTAATTTAACATCAACAGGTGAAAGATTGAAGAGCCACGAACATCAGGAAAAAATCTATCGCAAGGCTAAAATTAGGGATGAAAGGGGAAATAAAATGTTCCGCTTACCAGGAATCGCTTCCCATAAAAGTGACATCGTTTTTGAAAGTTTCCGACCATTGCCGTATTTAAACTTTTTTGTTTCTAGTTTCAATGAACTTTTGATTTCTAATTTCTTTCAGCAATCAGCACCGTATTGATGTCACCACTAAATAGTGAAATTTTAAATACGGTGAGTTTCCGACTGACCGGGAATAGTTTTCGTATAGGAAACACCGTTACCGACCTTTCTGGTCATTTTCATCCCTAGCTGAAATGATGTCCACATATAATTTTCACTGTGGTACAATTGAGGTGTCGTACAACCCCAATGACCTTGGCATAGCTTAAAATTTACACACCCTGAACACTGTTCTAGCATTAGCAGCAAGGGCATTTGCACTTTGGGCCTTGAAACTGCTATGACATACCTTTGGAGATGTTCTTCTCCGGTGTTTGGTGATGAATGACTCCTGTACTGCTTTTGGAGATGTTCTTCTCCGGTGTTTGTTGATGAATGACTCCTGAACTACTTCTAGGGATCTTCCTCTCCGGCGCATCCTGAGAGATGCAACTGTCACGGACTGCAGAAGCATCCTTCACACATCTTAAGCAAATTTGAGCGATATATTCACTTGTACTTGATGCAGAAAGAACAGTGAATGAACCTTTTGTAACATGTGGAAAATAAATTGTCCCTACAGCACTAACAGGCGAGGAACCAACCACAAAGCATTGCCTCTAATTGCAGAACATGTAGGCGTTAGTAAAGTTTCAAACATCGTGATCGGTCTTAAACAGGTGATAACTAATAGTCATCATTTCGGTGCCCTGCAATAAAGTCCCTCCATTCCAAACAAAACAAAACAAAAAATCACAAAGAAAACAATCGCTTCCAATCAGAGTAACAGCCAACAGACCTGTCGCTCTCTGTCAGCGCCAGTAGGACGCCTCTTCTCCTCGTGATCGAACTTAGGCAGAACGACCTCCTGAATCCAACGCGGTGAAGAAAACACGGGGGTAAAAAAAATAGCGGAAATCAGTGAGCCGTCGTCTCCGCTCGCACATGGTGACGTCCAAATCAATCAGCATCAACAACGACTACGGGCAAAAGAGAGGGTTTGAAACAGCAGGGTACCTGTCGGCGCCGCTCCTCCGTCGTCACGTACCCTGCATCGCGCACACCCATCGTAAAGTACGCCAAACCGAAAACAATCCCGAAAAGGCGAAAGGCGGAGGTTAATCAACACGGCCGCGCGGTAACCGGGCGGGCGACCAACCACTGGGGGGAGCTGGACCGCCAGATCCACCGGCGGAGAGGCGGTGATCCGAGCGCGGCGGCCCCCGCGCTCCCAACCCAATGCGCATTGCGAGGAAGCGAGCGAGCGAGGGAGGATAGGGTAGGGTACCTACCGGAAGGGGCGCCGTCGAAGAGGAAGGCCAAGGGCACGAGCAGGGAGCAGAGGACGAGCGCCAGCACCGCCACGCGGGGGGCCCTCCGCCTCTTGAGCACCGCCGGTAGCAGCGGCTGCGCCTTCATCGCGTCCTCCTCCTCCTCGGGTTCCCGGCGGCCGCGGCCCCTCCGCTGATCATCTCACTCACTGCGGCGGTGACTACGGGAGGGAGGGCGCTTGCCGTTGCCGCGTTCGAGGCAGTTGCGGGCGGGCGGGTTGGTTGGGGGCCTGGGGTTTGCTTTGCTCTGATCGCCGCGGCGCACTGCGGTTGGGTGCGGCCGCCGAGTGAAGTGAGCCAAGCCAGCCAGTTGCCCGTGGGTGTCTGGTCTGGCTTCATGAAGGGTGCTGGCTCGCGCCGAGTACGTCAAAAGCACTGGAGCACTGTGTTGTGCGTACCCATCGGGCACGTGAGGCACGAATTGTTTTTAAGACAATGGGTTCACCTGCTTTCCAAGGGCATGAATATGCTATGGTTTCTTCTGTTTGCCACTTGTAAGGCATCTCGTGATTTCACTAGACTCTCTTCGGAACGCTGGATCGCAATAATCATAATTCATACAGTAAAATATAATCATAAATCATACAGTAAAATATAAGAGCAGAGAAAATGTATTGTTCGAGTGGCTGATATTTGCAGTAATTTAGAATGCGGAAAGTTTCTCTCCATAGAGCATTTGGATGTATACAGGAAAAACAAAGAACTTGTGGGGAAGATTCAGACAAATTTTAGTTTCTAAGAAACTCAACCTCGCGCAAGATTTCCCTGAAATTCTCTTGAATTACACCATTTCATAGTAATTCTGTGTGATTCTAAAGTCTTTGATACTTTATTCCAAATAACCACATCGGAAAATTGCAAGAGGAGTCGGATCCTATAACATCCACCACCAATCCTTCGTTCCAAAAGGAGGCCAATCCCCAGAATTAGCACATGCACCCAATGAAAAAAGAGCGGAGTGAATCAGTAAACATAAACCATGGACAAGATACGCATACACCAGATGACAAAGGGATATTGTGCTACCAAACACACGTTCGTACATCTCCTAGTTCTGGCCAATCCCCAAAATGAGCACATGCACACCAGCCGAAACAACTTTGTTATCATAGTCTAAAGTCACCACCAGCACATATATATACACACAACTGAGGCATGTCCCCTTCCCAGACTAGGCCGGCAAGCTGCTAGAAATAGGATGCAGCAACCCCTCAGTTTGTCACAGGATCATGTAGTTCCCGTTTCTCTTGTAAATTATGAATTGAGATTCAAGGCCCTCCAATATCTCCAAGACCGATTCTCTCTTGGATCCCTTGAAGTGCTTGGCAACATCCTCCAGCGATACCTGAAACAATGCCACTCGTCAGCACAGGAATGACAAGGATTTCGGAAGCAGTTCCTGACGTTTAAGTCAGAGTGAATCACTGAAATGTTGGCCTCCACGCTCACGGGTCCACATATCTGTGACCAAGTCACTCAACATCAGAGGATCCCCGCACATGGATTTCCAATCAAGCTTGGGAAAAAAAATGCTTTAGTACATTACCCCATTGCAGCTCGCAACCAGAGCTAGCACAGATTCTTCAGTGGCAGCCGCTGTGCCAGTTGACTTTGCCCCATGCTCGTCTATCCTTTGCAGTTTTGTTGCTGGCCCCTCAGCAGAAACAGTTTGGCCTCTCTTTGCTGAAGGGTTTGCATCACTGGCCTCTGCCGCTGGGACACCATCTCCCATATCATTTCTGCTAGCTTCACTTGCATGGGAGGAAGATATTGGGGACTCTGCTATTCTACTAGGAACCCCATCAGCAGTACCGTTACCAAAGACTTGCTCTGACAATCCACGCCCCTCAATAGTCAGGAATGTCTTGATCATGTCGTAAGTTACCTGTGATTGTCATATAGCATTTTTCCCAAGTAAATTAGATATTCATGCTGCTTTGGATGAACATACAACAAAATGTGCGCCAATGCCTGATGAGAGTGGCTATTATTTTTTTCAGAAGCAATATTAATACTATGTTTAATCACAAATAGAAATGGAATGATTATGTGCTGAGGGAGAATTACATTCTCTGGGAGCTCCTCTTTGATTGGCTTCAGCTTCTCACGTGATCCAACCTTTGAGATTGCAAGACGGATCGCGGTGGCTATATCAGGTGTCAGCCCTACCTCCCTGCAAAACCTACTCCAGTCCATCTCACATCCTTCTCGAGCAGCATCAAGTATGTACGCAATAACCGCTTGCTCTTTTATTGGCACTGCTCATGGAAATACTAGAATACACAATCATACCAATCTGTGAACTTGAGTATCATGTCAGTGGAAAACGAAAACTGTAGTAACTCACAGCAATTTTCAGGAATGAGTACTCCTGCTTATGCCACAATTCCCAAGCAGTCAGCTTTGCATCACCCAAGATCCCAGGAAGATTGTTTTGTAAAGGTTTTGGTATACCAGCAATATTTTCTACAGCTGGATTTGTTGTTGGTGGTGGTAATGGTGAATTATCCAACGGGAGGTTTAACTCCTTCGACAATTGCGCGATATTTTGGATGAAAATGTTACTGAAACGTGAGATAAAATGCTGCAAACAAAAGGTCAGAAGTATCAATATATAAGTACAATACAGAAAAGAATGGTCAGAATATTGTCTTTTTTAAAATTGGATGAACTGCAGAGATGCATACTACTCGGATTAACAAAAGATAGTTTGCTAAGTAACCTTTTCAAAGTAATACCTGGTTGACACCATCGATATTAGCAAGTCTAGCTCCAGTAGAAGGTCTCATCTTTGCAAAGTTTCTTATCGTCTGATCACCACATATAGCATACCTGTAACAAGCGGGATTAAAGAAATTCAGTTCACTAACTTTTCCAAATTCTAGCATAAAATAGCTAAAGAACCTGTATCCATAAACTCGTTACGGTAGTTCAAATTTTTACTCACGGAGCAGTGCCAATATCTTGAGCAAGCTTCATCCTAACATTCAGGAGCATTTGATAGAGTTTTGATTCATCCTGCAAGAAATTTAAATCAGGCACAAAAGAACAAAAAACTGAAATTCCCAGGTGGGTGACTGCGTGGGGATTAATAAATAGTATTTTGATGAACCTACCTCAGAAATTTTTTCAGATTCTAATGTTAGCACAGGATTTAAACCACCACCTTCTTTATGATGTGAACTACCATGCTCCTCTAGTTCAATCATCTCTGCAGTCAGCTGAAATACCAGTGGTGTTCCATCCATTTTATCAGCAGTAGAGAGAAACTTGACCCCTTTTGGACTGACACTGAATATATAGACGCTGAGTTAGGGGTGGTTGTCCTTAAGCATTTCTGGAAAGTTTACTTCAAGACTAAGCTTAGCAAAGGACTGCAGAAAGGGAATAGGTACAATGACTACAAAATCCATAAGGAAACCGCAACACAGCACCTGACAAATCTAAATGTATCATGAACAGTCTCCTTCAAATAATCATGATAGATAAAAGAAGAAAATAAATAAATTATAGCACAATTTAAGGATGGCAAAAGCATTTCATTGTCCTAAAACCTAATGCAGAGAGCTTGGCGTAGCCACATATCAAGTAAAAAATAAACAAAAAAAACTCGAGAAGGAGGAGAGATGCTCCCCTGATTTTGTTCTTAAGAAAGTTTGTGCCAGCCTTCAAACCTAGACTAGTAACAAGGGTTTCATCAAAGCCCTGGACTTCAAAGGTCTAACCAGTGTAACTACGGAGAAGTTGGCATATATCAAGTAACAGTATTTCATTTTGAAGAATAAACCAGGTTTACATTCAAACAAATTTTAAGGTGTGAAGTCAGTATCTGAGATGTTCATGAATGTGCTTACTGTTTAGGTTGGTAGAAAGATGTTAACCATGAAAACGAACGATGTTAGCCTTGAAAACAGAGTGTACTTTCTAAGCTTTACAGGTTTCAAGACCTGAAAACGATAATCAACGAAGTTTGCGCTCAACAGGTGAAAATGTACATGAGAACGGATTGCCTTAAAAATATAATTCAGTGTACTTATTATGGCCATATCTGCTGTGAATATCTTCTACGGCAAAAGAAAAAAAAATGCATACATAATATGCCATTTGCTTGCATACAAAATCAAATCTTTTTGTAATACTTTCTTCTTTGGTCAGGGAAAAGACAGCAACGGAATTGGCTGTGCACAGGCAGAATCAACAATTTTAGAAATGTGTAGCTTCACACAACTTACAAGAATAGTAGAATGAAATAGAGAGGTCAACATTAGTATTTAGTACCGTGTGCTATAAGGAGACCACCAAGTGCTTTCCACCAGTTTGACGAATAATCTTTACCACGCCCATGCATTTGTAGTTTATCATAATTGTTGTCAACAATCTTCTTGGCCTACAAAATGAGAAAATAGTTGGTATTTCCCATCTACCCAGAAAAAGCAATTTAGTAACCAAGACTAAATTCTGAGAAAAATTTACTGTTCAATCCATAGTCACATAAGAGGGGGTCTAAGGCATCAACCCTCCACCCAGAAACATTGACACCGACCCAGGTGTGCGGGTCATTTTCGACCCCACAGTGTAAAAACCTCTCGCTTAAGTAGCATACCCCGTTCGTCGACCACGTCAACCCAAGAACTTTGTGAGTTGTCACTATGGTTCAATCATTTTGATCTTCTAAAGTAAAAATATTGTGGAGACTTCAAAAGCTTACGGTATGCCATGACTTCAGTAAACGTAACAGTGCATTCTGTCACATATGGTCATTCCCAGTGATAAAACTATCAACACATACATGATATCAAATGAACTACAGGCAGCTAATGTATGTCACAATTGTAGAAAACTGAAACAAAAAGGATAAAGATTTACTCGTGATCCACGAAGAACATCAATAGGTAAATTGAGGCCCCAGCGTCCTCCACAAGATTTGATGCAGGACAGCAACAGAAAGGCTTCTTTTGACAAATCCCTCTCGTTTTTCACTGCTGTGCAATTATCACAATTGCCTGCAGATCAAGATATGTGCCATTAATCAATGTCACTACAAGACAATTCCAGCAGTCGAGGTAAGGTTGCATGATACCGCATAACCTAGTAAATTAAGCTATAGGATAAGAATAGACAAGAAATAAATGTTATAAAATAAAAAGGAACATACCACAGTCAGTGTTGCATTCTTCACCAAAATACTGCAATAAGAACCTTCTACGGCATGTAGCAAGGAGGCAATATTTTTGTGCTGCCATGAAGGAATCCATGATTGCTTTTCTCTGGGTTCCCTGTTTAATGAAATAAAACATTAAGAAAACAAGTAGGCACACAGCAGAAGCACTAGGCTGCATGGATGGAGTGAGAAAACATCCAGCATGCAAAAAAATGACCTACATTTTTTGCCTCAGAACAATAGAAATCAGCTTTTGTAAAATCACTTCTTTGGTAATATAGCCAGCAGACTGAAGGCAGTCCATCTCTTCCACAACGCCCACTTTCCTGGTAGTAGGACTCTAGGCTCTTTGGACATCCATAGTGTATTACGCATCTAACATCAGGCTTATCAATACCCATTCCAAAAGCTATAGTTGCCACCATCACAAGAACTTCATCCCTAATGAAGGATCTGCAGGAGCAACATAACCAATGATCAATCATAAATCTGCCACCATAATTTGTACAAAACTGAATGCATAAATCAAACAACTGACCATTCTTATCCCCCTTGACCTATGTATTTGTCTAAATGTTTTACTTTTCTAATTCTAATTAATTGATTGCATGATCAATGTGAATCTAACAGAACAAAGACAATCTAGTAAATATTTTATAGAGAATGTTGAGATTAAACCAAATCATGGTACTTATAAACCACATGATATTCCATTTCTCATAATGACATGGTCAAGCATATCTAACAGTAACAGCCTAACAGGTCAATAAAAATAGTTCAACAAAATCATTTTTCAGAGAGGATACTGACAAATGGTTCAGAATATCGTTTGAGCATTGGTCAAAACTCAAAACAATATAGTCAAGGATTTACATTGCTCAAGGAAAATGTATGTAGAAGAAAAACAACATAACGAACAGACACCCAAAATAGAGCAGACAGTGAATAGATGAAAAACCTATGGGATTCCTCTCTAGCTCTGCTGCCCATTTGACCGTGATAAATTCCAGCCCTGATTCCAGAAGTGACTAAAGCCTCATGAACCTGGGGAAAAGATTTTTTTTATCTACACAAGTTGAAACAGTGGAAATCTATTATGTATTAAAAGCAGGTTACACAAAGTCAATAAGGAAGCCCAAATTCATCAGATTATTCCAGAAACCCACAGGTAAAACTTCTAAAATAAAAGGGCGTACCCAGTGCAGAGAGCTCCCGCTCTGTGCGGGGTCTGGGGAAGGGTGTTAGTGGCAAGCCTTACTCTCGCCTGTGCAATGCGAGGAGACCGCGACTCGAACCCGGGACCTTCCGGTCACAGGTCAAAATGGCGACGGTGCACCAAACCCGAGTACCCGACGGGTTTTACCCGATAAGGAAGCGGGTATGGAAGACATTTTGCACCTGCGGGTACGTTATTGGACGAATTCTTGTACCCATCGGGTATGCGGGTACGGGTGTAGGTGTATACTACCCATACCCGCATACCCGCGGGTAAAAAAAACCCGCATAAATAATATTCAACCTTTGCAATTTTAGCCCATATTTGGCCCATATAAGCATATGAGTATATATATTCCAAAACTCCCTCAAACCCTAATCCCCATATAAGCATATTTGGAATGAACCAATGAGGCATCTGATCTATTTCGACTAGCTTGACCTGGATATATTTCTGTTTTGCTGCTCTATTGTTGATTTGTTTTGCTGGAAGCTATTATATTTTGGTGTGTGAACTCGGGTATATTGTTGGAGTGCGGTTACCCGTCGGGTAAGAATTACCCGTCAAAAGCTTTTCTCTGGTATGGAATGAATTTTCTACCCATCATGCGTTACGGACCTAACCCGACGGGTAAGATTTTGATCTGGCGGGTGCAGACTGGTAGTGCATCTCTTGGCCATGACCCATTGGGTACATACCAGCTGCCATTTTGAGTCACAAAGTAAAAAACTTCTAAAATCCCACTTCCAAATTTTTAGACAAAGAACATACCCGAATGGAATCTAAAAGTGTCCTCATATGGCAAGTGGAGTGGAGGCCCAGCCCACGCGTAGTGTAGTGCGTGAAACCACATGATTAGATTAGATTGGTTTGGTAGGAAAGAGATATGTTAGATTGATTCGGTTAGGATATTTTCTTAGAGTCAAGTCACCATCTCTATAAAAAAACCAGATGTCGATTATAATCAAGCAAGAAGCAACAATTGTTGCTGGCTTCCCTTGGGAGCCCGTCGTTCCTCTCTCTCTCCCTCGCGTGAACAGTACACCGCGGTACTGTAGCAGCAGCACAGCTCTCTCCCCCTCTCAATCCTAGCAGCCACATAACAATCTGGTATCGAGCTCTAACGGATTCGATTATGTTCAGCCCTCTGACCGAAGTTCCCACTTCCCACCACCGCCGCCGCAAGACACCCACCACCGCCACCACCCGTCTTTGTCGGCCATTGCTTCCCACACAAAGCAAGGCATGCATTTGGCACCAAAACTCCTGGCATCCTTAAGGGCGATTAACCAATGCCCTACTGCCCGGCGTCGTCCGCCCTCGTCCTCACCCCGGAGCAAACAACGGCGGCAATCGTGAACCTCAGCCACTGCATGCGGGAGGTCCAGAACGCCGCGGCGCTCCTCCGGACCACCCGACCATCACGCCGTCACCGCCCACACAACAAGCGCTTAGATTTCAACTTTTTAGTGAACATATTTGGCCAATACCTAAGAGGCTCCAATGGCCGTCCACTTCGCCGAATCGGATCGGATCGATTCCGATGTGGTTCCGTCTTTACCGCCGTCCTTAACGACGCCGCGCCAGCACCATCGGCGGCCGTAGTGGTGCCGGTGCGATTCCACATCGCTTCGCGCCACTTGCCGCCTTTATCGCGCCATCACCAACAACGACGGTGTCGACTCGCCGTGCGTTGCGTTCCTCTTCCCCATGGTCACATCACCAATGAAGACCCCGGCCGCTACAACTCCGGCGATCTCATCACCAAACAGACTTTCGCTAAAAACCCCGCCGCACTAGTGTCACCAATGCAAAGCGATCATCCATGCACCGACATTGGCGGACATGGTGCCTTTGTCGCTGCTCTCTCTACGAGCCACAGACCGATCCCTCAAGCGGGGCCGTGGCTGTTTGTATCGCTTATTCTCCGCCGGCTCAAGAAGAGCCTTCAAAGCTCCATCGGTAGCTTGAGTACGCCCAAAGACACCCGCTTCTCTGCTTGCACCCATAGCGGGGTGGCTACTCGTGGAGGAGGGCACCATCGACTCCACGCAAAGGCTCCATGGATTCGACACGGCGGATTCGATTCCAGACAGATCAGATGGAGCAGCCAAGTTTGGCACCTCAAGGAGGAAGCAGGTCTGCCATGGCGATCTTCTCTGGACCGCAAGGTCTTCCGCTCCAGCAATCACCACAGCTCGAGGACGAGCTGTCCTCGAGGGGCGGAGTAGTGTTATGGCAAGTGGAGCCAGCCCAGGGCCCACGAGGTACTGTAGCACGCGGTTCTGTAGCGCGTGGACAGATTGGATTAGATTAGTTTGGTAGGAAAGAGATATGTTAGATTGATTCGGTTAGGATATTTTCTTAGGGGTCAAGTCAGTCATCTCTATAAAAAAAGAACCCTGTATCAGTTATAATCAAGCAAGAAGCAACAATTAAGTTGCTGACTTCCCCTAGAGCCAGCCGTTCCTCTCTCTCTCCCTCGCGTGAACAGTACCCCGCGGGTACTGTAGCAGCCGCACAGCTCTCTCTCCCTCTCAATCCTAGCAGCCACATAACAGTCCCATTGACCAGAAAAACAATGGAAGAGCTTGTTACTCAAACAATCAAAAGCAAGTATTAACAAATTCACATTGCACGAATTTGATGTGCATCTATATAATGATCTGAAAAATGCACAGGTACTTTTAAGGAGCACAGAAAAAAAAAACTGATGTTTGCATTCTCAAGCATTAGCAATTGCAAGTCTGAAATTATATAACTATGGTTCACAAACCTGTTCTGTGTCCCGGATGGTCGTACAATATATTATTGTTGACTCACCCGCAGCACTCTTCTTTGAAACATCTTTCACAAGTTCACTTATAAAGGACATAGATCGGTTGCATGTTTTCACACCATAGAAAAGGTTAGAACGATCAAATGAGCCAACCACCACATGAGGACTCGTGAGAACCAAGGAAGTAGAAATATCTCAAGCGCACCCTACAAAATTATTATGAAAGAAGAGGATGAGCGCGTAACATTGAACCAGTTTTGAAAACCAGTTCCCCACCCCACCCCAAAAAAAACCACCACCACCACCACACCACTGTAACACCCCGGTGTTACGTGCTGTTTAACAATAGTTTAAGGCTTAATAAAACCTAATAAATAAGTTTTCTATGCTTGGTGATAAATTCTTGCATGAAATGATACGATACATGTTTGGTTAAATCACCTTTGTGAATATAGTCAACATGTGTGATGTCAACTAACTTTGTTTTTTGTGCTTAAACATCTCTAAATGAGTTTAAGCTAACAAAAGTTGTTTAGGATTTATGTTGGAAAAATATGGAGAAAATGCTTAAAAATGTCAAAAAACCTAATTGGTGTTAATTGCTTGATAGCTTGTTGAAGGCTGAATAAAAAATAATTTATTAATAAACTCAAAATATGTCCGTGTGAAAACTTAGTACAAGTTATGAACTTTGTGGTGGAGTGCTTGTTGGTGCTTAGTTTGCATGTTTGATAGATTAGTTAAGGCTCCAAAGTTTGAATCGAATTCAATTTCGAAGAACTTAGAAAAATTTCCAAGTCTCTGAATCACCGACAAACCAAAGTTTGAGCATGTTTATCTCCTAATCTATTGCGTTAATGACAAAGGGTCCCTTAAGCAAAGTTGGAGTTTGCTTCGAGTTGAAGATATTTTATACAGGTGTGGGGCCCGTAGCTTAACCAAACGCTACTGCTGCGTTGCTTCTTCCAAGAGGGACACTTGGCCACCGCCGTCGCCCATGCCTTGCTTTCTCGCCATGTGCACGCACAGCAAGCAAGCGTCGTCCTCGTCCTGCAGTGCCTCTGCTGCCCCTGCCATGCCATGCTGCCCTCTGTGCGCGCAGCGCTCAAGTGGAGCCGAGCCCCTCGCGCCCTCACTTTCCCTCGCCTCCCGCTCGCTCTGCTTCTCTCTCGCTTGCTCTCAGTGTCTCAAGGCAATGTCGCCATGGCTGGGTCGAGAGCTCTGCTAGCTGCTGCGCTGCTCCACCGCCACCAACTCCGCCTCTGGCCCGCTTCGCCAGACACACTGCATTGAGACCGCCAAGGCCGGAGCTGCCTTGCCAGAGCTGCTGTAGCGCGCCGCTGCCAGCCAGTCTGATCGCCCACCGCACGCATGGCCGGGCCACCACCGGCTGCGCTCGGCCGAGCCGCCCCTCCCACGCTCCTTACATGGGTCCTCCGCTCGCCAGCCAGCCAGCCGCCCGCCAGCAGCCGCTGGCGCCGCGTCCAAGGGCCGGACCGCCTCAGCCGCCTCCAATGAGGTCGTGTACTGCCCCAGTCTCTCAAGGGCCCGCGCACCCTCCGCCTCGGGTCCATCGCCGCCGCTTAGCCCTCCATGGCCGGAAATCGGCCTCTGCATGCCCCTCCTCTGCTTTTCGGTGAGGACGAGGGAGAAGAAGAGAAGGACCTCACGCATAAATAGAAGCTTTTCCAGGGTTCCCAATGTAAATCTCGTGACTTATATGAATAGTGCTGCATAGTGTGTAATGTATTGCGGGTTGGTTTGATAAAACTACAGGGACCTCAGTACAAAGTGTTTGTCTTATATGGTTTTCCTTTTTCTTTTTAGTATAAATCAGTTGAAACTTTGAAAATTCATAGTAAATTGTAGAAAAATCCTAAAAATGCCAAACCAGTTTTGTTACACTCCAAATGCCTAGATCTATGCACTAGATATATAATATCATATGTTTTAGTATAAAATTATTGCTGTAATTTCAGATCTATGTTTTCCTTGGTAAATTAATAGAGGATGTTTGGTTAGTGCAAATGCAGTGAAATTTTTATGGTAAACTAGTCTGGATGTGTGTGTGCTCTGGCAAAAATTTCATGTCCAATGGATGTTTATTTACTGAGTTATTGATTTATCATGTGTCACATGCTTTTATCACAATTAAATCTTAATTAACTGTTAGTAAATAATCTGCTTATCTAGAAATTATGAAATTTATGCAGTAGCTTTGTTTAGTTAAGATGTGTCTCCCATAAAATTTTCATCTCCAAAATAGATGTTTGGTGCGCCACCTTTTTATTCCTTGGTTATAACTATTAAAGCTTTTATATATGTTAAGTGTTTAGATTAGGGTTAATATACGTTTGTCTCTGCAGCAAATTAGAGGGCAATAATTACAATTGTGTTCTCTGCAGCAACAATGTTGAGGAAACTGCTCACCACCTATTTTTCAGTTGCCCCTTCAGCCAGGAATGTTGGCAGCACTTGAGAATCCAATGGAACCTTCAGAGTGAATTCTTTCAAATGATGATACAATCAAAACAAAGGGCGTACCCAGTGCAGAGAGCTCCCGCTCTGTTCGGGGTCTAGGGAAGGGTGTCAGTGGCAAGCCTTACCCTCGCCTGTGCAATGCGAGGAGACCGCGACTCAAACCCGGGACCTTCCGGTCACAGGCGGTAAGACTCTACCGCTTGCACCAGGCCCGCCCTTCGCATATTTGGAATGAGGTAATTCTTTCAAATGATGATACAATCAAAACAGCAGCACCAAAATCCTTTCTTCATGGAGACCTTCATCATTGTTGCCTGGCATATTTGGAAGCAGAGAAACAACTTCATATTCGATAGAGGCCGGCCTTCTTTCTCTTCTTGGAAAAAACTCTTCTGTGAAGAGGCCATACTTCAGGCTTTTAGAATGAGAGATGATAAACGTGTAGCTTTTCTCCTCTGTTTAGATCTCCTCTCTTAGGCCTCCCTGGTTTTTGGCCTGCGGTTCCCTTCCCGCCGTGGCTACCTCAGCCCCCCGGCTGGTTGGTTTGTTGTTATTTCTCTATCTTTTGTACAGGTTTCAGTTTTTATTTAATATATTCCTACAGTGGGGGCTTCCCCTGCTGTATTTCCTGTTCAAAAAATATACGTTTGTCTATACTACTTGTTCTACATGATGTATAGGCAAAGTGTGTTTAGTAAGTAGAAGTGTGTTTGGCATGTTATGATGAACTTTCACTTGTATGTTTTAAAATGCAAATAGTTGTTTTGCTCACTTGTGTGATAATAGTAACTCGCAAGTAAGTCGTTGTGGAGAGGATGAGAGTCGAACCTCCAACATTTAGTTACCCTTCACCGTGATGACGTGTTGCTTGTCTTGTATTGTTTGTAAATGTCTTGTTGCACTTGTTTGACTTAAGCATGCATTTGCATCTATGCATATCATTTAGGTGCGTTGGTGGTTGATGGATGAATTGATGGCCTATGGAGTTGAACCAGAAGCCGGTGTAATGTGACCACGTCCAGAAGATGGAGATGGTTGGATCACGTCCCGAAGATGGAGCCGACTAACATAGTATAATGATGGTTTACCCAGGCAAGCCCCGGTGCATAACCCCTATTTTTATAGCACTTATTATTATGTTGTTCGTGCATTAAGTTACAGGAGTTTATTGAAACCCACCCGCATAAATATTCTATCCTATGAGTCCTACTAGTAAGATAGGGATCGTGTAGTATGCTATGCTATAGGGCTTACAGTAGAAGTCGAGTGATGGACGGTCACTCGCGAGAAATAGGTGATGGTTAAACTATTACTACTGTCACATGGTTTTGGATATGGACAATAATTGGAGACCGGGCAGGAAGAGGAAAAATGGATTTTCTGAATGGTTGGTAGGTGCAACAGGGCGCGGCTCTGGGTGCACGTTTCCCGCGAACACATAACAGGGGCCTGAGTTACAGTTGACCGTGAAGCTAAGTACTTTCCTATGACTCAGGGTCCCTAAAAAGTTTATTGGAGTGTTACACTGACCATTCGAGGAGTTGTTAGGAGGCAGGGGATGTCCATGGTAAAACTTATGAGGGGGAAACCCGTCGCCGGTTCGAGGGACGGGCCTCATAGGGTGGGTTCTCCGAATGGTCGGGTCACTTTCAGACCTGGGTCGTACGAGAGGAAAGGTAGCCTTGTACTTGCTCCTTCAAGAAGTACGGGCGTGTGTTTGGGATTGCCCAGCTGGATGTACATCGATTGCAATCGCCGCCCTCCTCGGATATGGATACCACTTGTCGCACTACTGCTATCGTAGTTAATACAACTGAAACATGAAGGTGATGATGAGGGTACTGCGGATCATGAGAAATATTCTGATTGCTTACCACATGCTTGAAAGTAGTTCAGGTGCTTACCTAGAATGGTTAGGGAATGTACTTGATGTGATTGCTAAAACTTTGAATATAAGGATGCACTGTTAGTAATCCTTCTCTGCAAAAACAACCAAACAGCTATCAAATAGCCCCCGGCATATCCTTGAGAGTTGGGAGGCTACTCCCACCTAGTCGGGTAAGTCTTGTGGAGTACATTGTGTACTCAGAGTTTTATTCCCCCTGTTGCAGGTAACAGGTGGATGCTAGAGCTAACCGTTGCTGTGTGTGAATACCTCCTGGTGGGCTCAACGAGGAAATCCTTCCGCTGCGATCGTAGTAGTTTTACTCTCATATAATTCTACTTCTGCTTTATTCAAAACTATTTACTTCCGCTGCTCTTGTATAAAATGGCCCTTCTTCCGTTGCTTATATGAAACCTGTTTTAACTCTGATTTTACGTAATCTTGTGATGTATGAAATGGTTAATAAATGATGTAAGCTTTATTCACTTGTTTATGATCCTGATGAAAACGTGGATTTTCGAGTTCTCCCATGGAGTGTACTCGACAGACTACCGGGCTTAACTTGGTCTCTTGTGTACTTAGTGTCAAATGGCTGACAAGTACACTCGGGATTAGGTTAAATTGGGCGGTTCTGCCACAACCACCACCCCAGAGAGAGAGAGAGAGCCCACTCGCGCTGACAATTTACACAATATACAGTTGCGATATTTGTATGTTTGTCTGGCTGGTTCAGCTGCTTTTAGAGACTATATGTGCTACTTTGACACCAAGGATACAATAGTTTGATTTTGTCATCTCTTTGATGATATCTGGATACAGTTTTTTTTTTAATGAACCTAGCAGGAGCTCTGCCTCTCAATTAAGAAAAGAGAGTTTATGTACAGAAAGTGCCATCGGCACAAAAACCCCAAAGGGCACACAAGACACACGTCCCCGGGATAGATACAAGGTCTAAGTCAGAGTTGTCAAGACCCTAAAGCATAGGTTGATGTCCTCTTTGGTTTTGGAGGCTACCTGCCGGACATCCATCACCAAATTTTGGAAAATCCTTCTGTTTACAGTCAAACACCTAATAACCACTATGGGCATAATCTAATGCTCATTGTTATTATCTTTAGGGGATTTGAATGCTCTAAAGCTATTTATCTTACCCTGTCCCTTTAAGGAAGAAAACAAAGTGATAGTGTAAAATTCATACCTTTCTGTGGCAGTGGCAGTTAAAGCAACAAAGGGAACACCCACAAGAAGGTCGCGCAATGAATGCAGCTGCTTGTACACCATCCTGCAAGAGAGTTTGAATTATGGAAATCAAGTTAAAAGAGGGAGAAATGCCGATTTCTCTCCGCTTCCAATCAATTCAATATCAAAGGATGGGGGATGAAAAATATAGAAAAAGCATGCAAATAAAGGTGCAATAGCATCAGCCCAAAATCTGGATAAATAAGAACACACAATCCATCCCACCGTTACATATAACTACCACAAATACCTGTTCCACAAGTGAATACAGGATTTTCCAAATTGCATAAATATATTGTTTATGAAACTCAAATGACTAAGTACCCTGTACTTTTACAAGACGTGTTCAGTGTTCCATTTATCAAATCAAAAGAGAAAACAACCTGAAATCATGGCCCCATTCCGATATGCAATGAGCTTCATCGACAGCTAACAAGCAGATTCCAGCAGCCTGCAAGTTACTCCAAAACCTGGACAAAAATGGAAAAGAAAAGTAAGTCAACCTAGTAAAAACTGCATGTATTATTTGTTTTGTTTCTTTCAGAAGAACAGTAGGGGAGGGCCCTACTAAATATATCCATATTGCCAAGATCTACATGACGAACATATAATAAGATTTGATAAGGCCACAGCTTTATTGTATAAATATTGATCTACCCAGGACAGAACTCTCAAGTTTTATTGCAGCCAAGTGTGATGGATTGCAACTCGTATCAAAGGATTGAAGGTTGTAGGGTACGGGTGGTAGCGGTGGAAGATGAATGGACGCAGATGCAGGACCATATGCTTCAACAAGGGCGGAACCATGACAGCAACGTCGCCCAGAGACAACGCACAGGATGGATGGGTTTTGGGGAGTTTAATCATGCTTCCTTTATTCAACTAATTGCATGGCATTACACAGCCATCTCCTAGAATCCTAGACCAACAAAACATACTAACAAACTTCAATATTAATGTGCAAGCCAGCTCAATCTCTAAACTAAATATTAAACTAACGTGATGAAGTTGGAGAGGATATTGGAGCCAGTTCAAGTGTGCTGCACTGCATCACAGTACAGCTGTCCCCACATAACAACAAACCAGAAGGTGAGCCAAGAAGCCTTTCCTTGAGCAAACACATATCTGTCGCTAGCATTACCTATAATCAATTTCATCGGAGACATTATATCAAGGATACACACATTCCTTTTGGAGACAGATATTTCAACAGCCCAAGATTCCAAGTTCCCTAGAAATAAATCCTGTTGGGTCCTTGTTGCAACTCTATTTATAGCTACATCTCGGTTACCTATGAAAATAATGTTGACACGCACAATAACTTGAAGCAATATACATATGCCTTCACTATTAACCAAGGTATCTACAACCTCTTCCACTAATCCTGCATACTCAGAAGGACAAGCTATTCAAGTTTGCAACAGCCTACTATGGTGTCACAAGAACATGTCCAGCACACCATGTGCTTTTATAACATCTAAAGTGATACCAAATATTATAGCGTTTCACCTTGAAGGAAGTGAAATGGCTTTCTCTGGTGTCATGTACAGCACATCAAACGCGCCCTTTTCCGCCTCATTGCTGACGGAGCTATTCATTTGGGTGCTGCCAAGGTACTCAGATTTCACACCTTTTTGTTTTAAACTCATAACCTGTTTTAAGGAAATGAAGTCCTCACCAAGTATTTTGGTAAAAGAAATTTAAAAACGTGAGTAAAGCACTAAGGATATATTGAACATTTCAACCCTACCTGGTCTTGCATCAGGGACAGAAGAGGGCTTACAACAACAGCTGTCTTCTTTGTAACCAGTGGGGGAATTTGATAGCTGCCAAAAGAGGAATTGCCATAATCGAACAGCAATTTTTGTATATAAAATGAAATAATAGAATCTTTCAGTCTTGTTCCTACCTATTGTCTGGATATACCAGAAGAGAACTACGGTCTGTTGAGGCTACTATAAAATACTTACTTAATATAAATGAGTTCGACAAAACGCATTTCCTTTTTTCTGAAGAAATGTGAGAGATCAGCAAATAATTTAAGGATATATATATATATATATATATATATATATATATATATATATATATATATAACTTATTCTATAGCCACCTTGATTTACGATAATGTTTGTACCAATTTACGATAACATGAATATGCATTCACGATACTCGGGTTACTACAGGTCACGGTGATATTTACCATAATGTTATAGTAAATCACTTAGTAAGGAGTTATTGTAGTCTCGTAAATTAGCATAGTAACTATCGTAACTTGAAGTGGCCACAGAATAAGTTATTCTATGGCCAGCTGCAAAACACATACTTACAAAAAAACAAATTAGCAAATAGGAGGCATTTCGCTTGAAATCCTGCTGCAAACCCACAGCTCTAGTGTCAACAACCTACTATAGATTTTTGTAGAAATTGATAAACAAAACAGCTCTAAAAGGTTTTGCAGATGACAACAATTATGAAACAGAGAAAAATGTGGTCAGGTCCTTTTGAGAAGATAATTTTGCCGGTTTCTGCACAATCCACTCTAATCATAATTTCCTAGGTGCAGTTAAACTCCAGCTGACCTGATGATTTCCTGGCAGAAAATGTTAAGATATGCACACTACAATGAAAACGACCTGGCCATTATAGCTTAATGGCTACATTTCTACCAACAAAATGTATTTACGAAACCATTGAAATCCATCAATCAATCAATCTCGAGCAATATCTCAACCATCCACAAAAAATAGATCCAGAAAGCGCCAGAGGTACAACTCATCGTCCAATAAATGCAGCATTGGAACTTAGATTGTACCATCGACAACACCCCACCCAAAATAAATAAATAAAGAAACAAGCGCCGCACAGCCATTTCGTCATAATAAAACACAAAAAAAAAAAACAAGCGAGGGAGACCGACTCTACCAGATGGACTTGCCGCTGCCGGTGGCCATGACGGCGAGGCAATCCCGCCCATCCAGGACCTTCTGTATGATCTCCCTCTGGTACGGCCGGAACGTTGAGTACCCGAAATAGCCCTGCACATACAGAAACGTGCGAGATTAGACCGCCGCCGCCGTTGGGATAGGATTCTAGCGCCGCGCGGCGTCGGGGCCCCACGGCGCCTAGGGTTTTGGGGGTGGGGAGTTGGAACAATGCGATGCTTGCCTTCAGCGCCGCCTCCATTCTGATTCTGGCAGGGGCCAGGGGGCTCCGCCGGAATGGGTGGACGGTAGCGGAGAGGTTTTGCTCGCGTCGAGAGGAGGGGGCGAGCGGAGACGGAGTCGCCGAGTCGGGATGGAAGTGGACGAATCGAATGGTGACGGACGGGCCGGCGAACGTGGGGTTTGGCCGTTTGGGGGGGAGGAATGGGGAGGGGAAACGGCGGCGTTTTGTCGATGTTCCCGCCAAATCATTCCTTCCGCACCCGCAGACCGCAGTCCCGCCGCTAGTGGCACCTAGTGGGCCGTGTGGGCCGTTAGTATTTCGGCCCTCACCAAGAAAAATAACTCATGATAAAGTAATAAAGACAAAATACATTTTGACCAGAAAAGCCCATGCTCGATTATTTCGAGCATAGGCTTCTTCGATAAAGAGGAATCAGACGATTTAAGTGAAGTTTTTTTTAACGTATCAATAAGATAGAGTGATTTGAACCGATGATCCTCGCATTACAAATGTGATGCTCTAACCTTTGAGCTAAGTGGGCTTACATAACAAAAATAGTGTAACAAATAAAAATATATATATCTTGAATCTGGTATTCAAGGAGTTGAACTAGGATTTCTAAAAGGATAGGATAGGGTATTTCTATATGTGATAGATAATGTAAATGCAAAAATTTGTCTTCTAAAAAGGGAAATATTAAATGAATAGATTGTAAATTTTTCAAAACTTTGGTATTTCTTTTTCTTCTGGACAAGATAGTTGCCCTAGCGAGAGTGGGATTTCTACAACAATCCCAAACCCTTCAGACAGAATCTGAGAATAAAACTCAGAATAAAAAAATTTGCGGTGATCAAACAATTGATCTTGGTTAGGATAATTAACGGAATTAATCAAAAATTCTGCCAATACATTCGAATAATTAAACGTTTCACAAGTATTGAACTAAATTTCTTGTTATTACAACAAAAAAATTCACAGGTTTGGAACCATTTAATCCACAGTCATCCTAATTTTCTTCTATTTCTGTATCCATATAGAACTTTCTTGCCATTTCTTGTTTTTGGTCTCATATAATCCAGGAAGGGTATAAACTAAAACCCAGTCAAATTTCACCTATAAAAGAGAGACTATTGTTCCTTAGTAATGCATAGGAAGAAGGGGTCATCTTTATCCATTGAGCGGAGGAAATAGTAATAAAAAGAATCATTCTGAGCGAGTCCATAAGAAGCGACCCACTTTTTCATCGGTTCCAGGGGAAGACCAAAGATCTTGCGCGATCGGTCCGCTAGAAAAATACAAAAGAGAAAGAAGTCCCGTTAATCTCTTCATGCTCATTCCAAGTTTGAAGTACCGTTTGGTATAAATGTCCATACAGCGCGAGGCACGGCGGCCCGACACGAAGCCCGCGTTTTTTGTCCGGCCCAAGCACGGCACGCCCCGATGGTCGGCGGGCCCGGTCCGGGGAGCGAGCCGTGGCTGTGCACAGGCGTCTGGTATCGAGCCATGGTCACACAAGCAACGCACGGTGGCGGCCTAGTAAAAGCAAAGTTAGCCCCAACCCCTAACCCTAACTTCAATCCTTCCCACCACAGCCAGACTCTCTCGCGCCCAGCCTCCCTCTCTCCAGCGTCAGACTGCTGGTCGCGAGTCGCGATCGTCGCCCACTCCCCACTCACAGCAATTGTCGCTTCCCACTCCGAGCTTGGGCAGCGTCGCCCGCCTCCCTCCTCCACCGCTTGACGGCGGTGGGTGCAGCGCCCACACGAACCCGACTACCACGAGGCTCGAGCTTGGCGAGCGTGGGAGAGAGGGCGGGGTGGCTCTCCTTCCTCTCGAAGCGCATGTAGGTCGCGCTTTGTGTGCGCCACATGAGGTCAAATCTCGACTCACACACAAGATCGCAATCGCGGCAATCGCCCCATCCTCGCTTCCCAATCTCTGTCTTAGCTCCTCCTGCCCGTCCGGCGACCACTTACTTTCTGGCCGCGGGCTAGCCCGATCTACTAAGATTGTCGTGCTTATCGGGCCGGCCGGCCTGAAACTCGGCCCATAGGGCTGCGTGCTGGCCGATGGCGAGCACGGCCCTCAAGACGCGGCCGGAGGCACGACGCGCCATGACTACCGCTCGACCCCGATGGGCCATGCAGCACGGGCGCGTCTTGCGGAAAGCCCGCCCGCCGAGATGGACATCTATAACATTTGGCCAAAGAAAAAACCGCTTCTATACACGATTTTCTCTTTATATAGATAGATATAGGATTGATGAGGCCCGCACAAGCGGTGGAGCATGTGGTTTAATTCGATGCAAAGCGAAGAACCTTACCAGGGCTTGACATGCCACGAATCCTCTTGAAAGAGAGGGGTGCCCTCGGGAATGCGGACACAAGTGGTGCATGGCTGTCGTCAGCTCGTGCCGTAAGGTGTTGGGTTAAGTCTCGCAACGAGCGCAACCCTCATGTTTTTCGAATTGTTTGTTGAAACAGACAAAGTAAGGGAAAACCTCTGAAGGAATTTCCATATTGACCTTGGATATAAGAGTTCCGAATCGAATCTCTCTAGAAAGAAGATCTCTTGTCTCATGGTAGCCTGCTCCAGTCCCCTTATGAAACTTTCGTTATTGGGTTAGCCATACACTTCACATGTTTCTAGCGATTCACATGGCATCATCAAATGATACAAGTCTTGGATAAGAATCTATGACGCACTAGAACGCCCTTGTTGACGATTCTTTACTATGACAACATCTAGGATCTGTTTCGCTCAAACCAAAAGCAAGGAGTGCTTACTTTAGCCTTTGTTTGTTTTGTGACGTGTCTTCCTTAAGGATTCATCCAATGTAATCCCCACTTCCCTTTTTTTTATTTCCCTTCTATTTATATATGATATAGACCTAATTCTTATACAAAGAAAACTCTTTCGCTTCACTTTGTGTCACTTTCTCTAGAATCTCTAGAAAAAAGAATTGACCTACCCTTTATTTAATGATAGTCAGAGACTATTCTTTTACTACCCGTCACAAACTTTATGTTCGGCGCAATACTCACACTAGAACTTACGAACAAGAATTGCTGTATCAATCACCATCTATTTTAGATATATCTTCTGAAACTTTTTTCAAATCCAAACCCCTCCTTTGTGGCTCTCTATGGTCCCTTGGGAACCGCAACCTGCTCTATTTTTTTTGTAGTTCCGCTCAACCAAAGTTGTATTTTTTAGAGTTGGTCTTCCATCGTGGAGTATGTGCACCTGTTTGATATGTAGCTCTATTTTAACTCTAGGAATTAGTGGTCTCGGTGGGAATGGCAATTTATAACCTTGGGATGTTGTATGTTAGTTGTTTTGATATATTTTAGTTTTTGTGAGTGAATTTTAACTATGTTAAAAATTGTTTGCAACTTTGTATTGTAATACAAACAAACAACATGTATTTGCATCTTTTTGGCATGTAAAACTCATAAGTACTCATATAGACATATCTACCATTTACGAGGGAAGAAAAAACATTTCAACATATTTTTTTTGAATCAGCTCTTATCACAAATACATGTGTAGTGTAGCACAAAATAGTACATGTGAGAATCCTTTAACAATGTGAACTGACTAGATGCGCTTAGGGCCCGTTTGGATGATGTAATAGAAACCGTGGTTTCAAGAAAATATGGTTTAACATATAAAATCATGATTTAGAAAAAAAAAAAGATGTGAGTAGAGTTTATAAAACTCCAAAAAGAGTAAGTTTTTTTTTACAAAACCATGGTTTTAGAGAGTATGGGATTGTTTGTATCTAAACATCCAACAACTTTTCAGAACCAAAGTATTTTGCAAAGCTATAGCATTGATCTAATATTCTAAAAGTACTTTGCAAAACCACTATTTTAGGTAGTATTAGGCCTACGTTAAAATGACCATTCCGAGTTCTCGGGCCTACAAGTCATAATATTTCTTAATAACTGTAGTATTTTATCCAATATGTCAAAAAATACTTTGCAATGTTGTGGGGCTCGCAGCAGTTTGACAAGCTCGACGAAGAGCAAGCAACGCCGTTAGATTTTATGGAAAAAGGGTTTAATCTCCTACATAAATCGGTTGTATTATTTGCTCCATTCTCTCTTATATATTGCTCATGGCTACAATCTACAAAAGCCAGTTCATCCTCCAGGAGGAGCATGGGGTGGAAATTCTGAAGACTACACTTTCGCCACCAAATGGCAAACCCATGTGGAAGAAAGACCGGAAGCACCAGGAGACCATTAACCACCAGTGATTGGATCGAGCTTAGTTGTTGGGCTTACTTTCTTCAGTGTTTGCAGCATGTGCGCTGTGTCAGTGGCCTTGGTAGGAATTTATATGGCCTTGGTTTGAAGCGATGACATGGTAGTTATTTCCTTTAAGATGGCGTTTATGTGTGTTGGTTTGTGGCCGCCTTTCAGATTGACGGTTGCACTAAAACTACTTTGTAATTTCATTGCTTTAATTAAGTAAAATGAAGTTTAGGACTCACGACTCGCGTCATGGGAAAAGTTTTATATAATTTTTTTTATCAATATTGATGATGAAAGATAAAAATTGATTACTGAAGCTTGAAGGAAAGGAACTAGGACCAGCACCGCGTCAACTTTCATAGATTGCAGGTGTGTTATTAAAACGTACAGTTTATGGTCATCTTTTAGACTGTAGGTGTTATTAAAATGTACAGTTTGCACGGTCATTTAGAAAAATTTATGGCTTGGAGATTTATGCAACCATCGCATCGTCTGTTCCAATATATCTTTGAATTAAACCACATACCATGGCTAGACAGACATTGTTCAAAACTTGGTCTCATGTTTAATTAAAAATGTGGTGGCTTTGGATTGAAAACATTGTTTCATGTTAGAGATTTGGATTGAAAATGTGTGGCCAATAATAAGAGTGAGATCCAAACCAAGGAGAGTAAAGTGCGGTCGGACAAAAAATTTGAGAAATTTTCGATGCATTGCAACAACTTCACGACGGGCAATAATGTAGAAGACTTCCGAGAGTCGAGAGGACAGAAATTAAAATACAGAAAGTTCAGTACAATAAGTTAATGAACTTTCCATATATTACATGTTAGGGCTGAAGTTAATACACTCCTACTAGTAGGTCGCATGTTCTTCAGTATTGAATTCACAAAAACCCCGATGGGTTCACCATACATGATAAAACTTCAGTTATCCTGATAGCTCAAGTGGAATTCTTTAAGAGTTATCCTGATTACTTCAGCTAGACCTCAAATCACCAACCTCAAACCCTCAAAACTCCAACAGCGGCTGCTCTGTCAGGTGGGGGCAAAATGTCCAAATGGCAGGGGATCACAGCAAGGTCTCGACTACAACAGAGATAGCTTGTGGTCCTCCTCGCTCAAGAAGAGAGAGAGCAAGGTCATGTTCATGCCAACTCCTAAGTCCAGCTGCTATCTTCTTTAGCGTCTCCAGCTTTATGTCCCGCAACCATGATGGAACAAACTTCACCACCAGGAACATAAATTGCGACACATACGCTTTCCAGGTACCCGGGTCACAGCCCAGAAGAATGTGTCCGTCTAATACACCAGCTATGAAATCCATGTGGTTTCTCACCACCCGTGGCCGCCTCAGAGGAAAGACAATTTCATGACAGGATCAGTCCTATCCGCTAGCCAAAGCAGGCTACCACTGTAGAAGAGCATGTTGGCCATGGCATAACCTTGGAGTGTGCTAGAAACTGGCCCAGGGTCTTTCAAACTCTGTTCTCTGGCTGATAGCAGCAGTGTTGGCAGTGTTTCCTCATACAACACCTGGACCACAAGTGGTCCACCTGCTACGCACAGGAGACCTCCACCAAGCAACGCAACCTGATGCGCCATGGATGCTGCACAAGATAGTGGTGTCCGGCCTGATTTCAACTGCGGAGGCCCATTGAAAGACCATCCATTTGCAAGTTTGTGAGCCCACTCAATAACTTGCTTGAGGATCACTTCACTAATGAAGTAAGTGTCATGGAAAGTTCGACATGTTCTCAAGTAGATGAAACCAGGTGCCATTGGGAGCCTAAGACCTTGATTCGTGATTGAGTCCCCTAGTAAAGCCCCAACTCCACGGTTTGCAATTATGTCAGAACCACTGGGTGAAGACTGCAGAAAGGACAAGAAGCAACTTTGGATGAGCTGCGCAACTGCATCTTTGTCTCTGCCAAATGGACAAAGCATACAAGAGAGGACGATGAAGTCATGCCATCTTCGCACTTTCTGTGTCCACAATGCCCCAATAATGGGCATGCTTGGCCAGGAACTCCCCCCTGCACAGTTCTCTAGTGCCTGTCCAATGACCCTATGAATGTACTCCAAACTCCTATCTAGCTTAAATGTAATCGTCAAGCTGATAAGTGCAGCCATAGGTAAAGGAAGCATTGGCGGCACACCACCTGAAAGAATATAATATGCTTTATATGACAACATAAGTGGAATAAAGGTATTTGGCATATTGATGGCGAAGCCTGACAATAAATGTGACTAAGGTAACTACAATAAATGTGACTAAGGTAACTAAGTTGATGTGCAAGAACAGAATGCAGAACATACGCGGATAGCAGCTGTTAATCTGAACACCAGCAGATGCAAGAATTTCCTTTACTTCAGCTTCAATGGAATGAAGAGAAGCACCGGGACTAGGCCATTCAATTCCATTCATTGGAACAGGTTTCCAGATTCCTCGTGTAATTTCTGCTGAGAAGTAGCTTACAATTGCAGCAAGAGAAGCAGGCAAAAGTCCACCAGATCCCTTAAGCCTGCAGTACGGTAACATTAGCAAATAAAATGATGCTGAGAGCTACCAACATACAATATGGGGAATCAACTCACTTGTAGTCAAGTCTCGGCTGGAAAGCCGCCCATGAGCACATGCTGTCAGAACAGCTTCAAGAACAAAAGGAACAGCTTCTAAAAATTCCCAAGCAGGAACTGCAGGCCTTTGGCAAGAATCATCCGATGCACTTACAGAGGAACCACTGACACTACTACTAGAAGTGGATGAAAGATTACTAGATGATACCCCACTTTTATTCATTTTTCGCAAATCATATTCAAAATTTTGTTCATGACTTGATGGACAGGGTTTTGTTGCAAAAACCAGAAAGTGTAGAGGCGATGCAAGCTTGATTCTGAAAATACCAAGCCCTTAGCTTGGGGAAAGAATCAATATAAATCGGCTGAGCAGGAACCTCATTGACTGAGCCCATATTGTTGTAAGAATCCCTATTAGGGGCAGATGAATTTGAGAACTCAATGCGATTATTAGCATCAACAACAGATAGTCCAGAGTCAGTTCCAGCTTTACTGAGCCTCCACGACCAGCAAGACAATACTCTTGAGGAGGTCTATAAAACTTCCACAAGCGAAGAAGGCAAAGAAATGCACAAGAGAAGACCGAATAAACAGATGTTTCACCAAGAATGGTAGACTTGTGATTAGGTGGCGGTGCTATTGACCCAAAAGCCTCACATAGTGGCATTAAAGCCACAGCAACATCTGGAACCTGTATCACATAAAGATTTTCTTAAATTCAGGAACAGCAATCAGTGCAGCCATGTTAAATAATTCTGTGCCCAATTAATAAAATGTTTTACATTTGTGACATAGTAATATTAGAACACGCATAACACAACTACTACTTGCAGGATACCTAAATAAATGGTCCAAAGCACAAAGAATTGCATACTGCACTTATTGGTCAATGAGGTTAGGGCAGTCATCGAATGTTAGTGAAGCAAGTGAAAGTTGTTACAGTCAGATACAGTTCCAACAACTTCTACTAGTAAACATGACAAGTTAACAAGGGGTTGCAAAACTATAGTACAGGTCCTTTAAACTGTTGTTGTACTTGTACAGGGAACAACATGCCTTATATATCTAAAAGCCAAACTGAAAAGAACACAGCACACTGGGAAACACAAAATTGCATGTGGAGAACAATTGTAAAGAAACACTGATCTATTGACATTCTAAGTCTCTAACGATGTGATGAAACTTTTCTCCTTGATGACAATGAAACAAATAAGAAACGTTTTGAGGGACAAAGCAAAGCACACATCTAGTGGTGAGGATCTGTTCTGAATAGAAATATGCAAAAGCATTCACCTAGTTTAATATTCCAATAACAGATTGACAAATAAACAGCATAACCAAGTTATATTGCAATTATCATTACCATTCCATACAACGAAAGAATGTGGATGGCGTCACCATAAGACACACCGAGTAAGATTTCATTTAACGTAGACATATGAGCAAGGTAGTGGCTCATGCTCCCAGGAGTTGAAGTTGAGGAAACTGAGGGTAAAGAAGCTGATAATAGCTTGACCACCATACCGACCACATGTTCCTGACACATGTGCATGAGCATATAGCCACAAATGTTAAAAAAAAGGCATACAACATTGTAGCAAGTGTGTCTGTAAGATTTTCTACAGTTTTTAGGTAACTAGCTGTGTCCCCAAAATGTTGGTATATGACAACATGCCAATGCCCTACGTCCCTACATTTCTGACGATTTTTGGGACTATTCTCACATGCATTTGACTAACAAACGATAGTGAACTTTCAGCTATGCTAACAGTTTAAGATTTGAATTTCCCTAAGTTCCATTAAAAAACATTATGAAGTAAATAAATAGTGGAAGTGCCCTTTTTGTGAGTATGAAAAAGAAAATCAAATGAACAACCCCACATTGTCAAATTGATTCACCTAAAAAATAATGAACTTTGTTACAGAAGAATCAAAAAAATCCAGTCAGCCATATGTTGACAATATGGAATGTCTTCAGTCTTCACACAGTAAGGTGTACAACAGTAAATCAAGGTACCTGAATATTCCAGCCACGAACAAGTGATGCGCCACAAAGAATCTTTGCAGCAGCTGTTTTTTCTTCTTCTGAACCATTTGTTGCTATACTGTATAATTTGTCCAATTCCGCAACACTGAAGAAACAAACAGATTACACATCAGCGCAGGATAATCATGATGGTAGCAGTAGAGAACAAAAAAAAAATTGTATAATTTGTCCAACTCCGAAACACTGAAGTCTGAAGAAACAAACAGATTTCAAAACAAGGCAGGAACATGGTGGTGTTAGCTAGAGATGACAATGGGGACTCGATCCTCGATTCCCCGCGGGCAATTCCCCTATTAGAGGACGGGTGTGGTTGCAAATGTTGCCCCATGGGAACCAAATGGAGGAAAATTGATCCCCCTCGGGTCTAACGGGGGCAGAGATGATCCACTGTCCCTCGTCCTCGATTCCCCACGGGGCCTCGAGTAGCTAGGTCCAGTACTGTTCATATGCGCAAATTGCTTAGAGGCCCGGCTGGCCCAACACAGCAGCTGGAGAAACACATATAAAATCTGTAACCCTAACCAGGAAGCCTTATCCAATCCATTCCACTCAAGGTCCCACAGCCAGTCACTCCACCTCCATCGCCTGGCCACAGCTGCAAGGACTACCGCAGCCGTGGTGGCAGTGGGCACCACTTTCTGTAGCCCATACCAGCAATCCGTTTGCATTCATCCACAGATCCACTATCTCCATCTCCACTCTGGCATCTGCAGCTGCTAGGCATTGAGGACAACATTTACGGGTGCTGTGCTGCCAGCAGGGGCCAGGGCACCTGGCAAGCATGCACGGGAGTGGAGATGGAGACAGATTGATTCTGTGGATGAGTGGAGTCCCAGGAGTGGAAAGTCATCTCTACTTCTAGCAGTGGAGAGCAAAAGGAAAAAAAGGTACAAACAAAGGAACAAGACATCAAGCAGAGTTGACTTAAAATATAAAGAACCAGGGTAGCTAGTAGTCCCAGGAGCCTAATTTAGATCGCATGCTATATGGATGCTTCTATTTTGCTCTCATTTCAAAATTCTGCACGAGAGCAAATGATGTAATATAGCACACTAAAGTAGTAAATTATTAGTTGAAAAGAAGTCTTAAGAGCAAACCAGTCATGATTGGCCATTAGAATTTATACACCAATTTACACACCTTGAAGCAGGAGTTGCTACCAGAGCATCAATAAGGGGTCCTGAAAGTCGAGACCCTTTCATAAAGTTTAACCAGGGGGATTCTTGGGGCAAGGCTGTATCTTTTAAAGTCCCAGATGGTACAACATAACCAGGCCATAAGTAAGCAGATGTATCGATCAACTTTCTCGAGATACAGGCTTCGATAATAAGATGGAGCATGTTCCCAGCTGAAAAAAATGGTCAAGTAAAAGTAAGAAAAAAGGATAGAATGATGAAGGGTTAAAAATGCATTTATTATGAGCAACAGAATACTGAAGCAATAAGGACATAAAAATGTTCCGAGCATAGCTAACAAGCGATATGATAACAAAGATTGGTTATCATGGGGACTCAACTAGCGGAGGCCCATGGAATGCCTTCAGCAAGAAACAGATAGTGAAACTTCACACCCCCTCAAGAGGTAATTAGAAATGATAAAACCAAGGACTTATGTGTGTCTCACCCAGCATAGCCTCTGCTTTCTTTCTAATGTGATAAGTATTAACTAATTGGTAGGATATGAAGAGTACAAGTACCAGCTTTCATGGAAGAGTCAGTCTGGTCCATCAAGCTAGAGTTGCCAACCCCAGTCTTATAGTTGGCCTTAAATATTGCCGCTTTTGAGGCTGCAGCATTAGCTGCATTCACCACTGATGAAGGTGGGACAAGAAGCCCTGAATACTGGATCAGATCCTGGAGAGACGATATAAGCCCTTGTCTTTGTGGAAGAATTTTGTTTCCTTCAGCTCCAAGCATATCACTTTCTTCTTGAAGAATCTCGGCAACTGCTAATGGTATAAGAGATAACAACATGCACAGCCTTGCATCTAGATGAGGAATCGGTCCTTCAAGAGGTTCTCTAGCCTAGTTATAACACTTTGCAAGTGAGAAAGCCACATGGATGTAAATACTACAATTCATAATTATATCATGGAAAGGTCTATTTACCCGTTGTACAAGACGAAGGGCGGAAATCCAAAGAGCTTTAAATGTTTCCTGCCAGCTTGCTTCATTAAGCACTTGCATTGTCTTGGTCATTTCTGAATAAAAGGAACACAATATTTCGTAACAACATCATGCCACTCTTGCAAGAACTGAATAATTTGATTGCAAACACGCAGATCATTTTCGTCTACATAGTTGGACCGACATGTAAACTTGCCTTATAGTCATATAAAATGAGAGTCAGGGAGTACCTTTTATAATCCCGATAGCTGATATAAGACTTAGATGCCTCCCATCAATTGCATTCTCCACATATATATCAAATATTATCCAGCAGGCGGGCCTCCCAGCTCCAGTAAGTTGGCCCAGAAGGGAGCCACCGGATCCCATATTACCAAGAACACCCAGAATGCGTTTGTTATTTGGTTGATAGTCTGTTTTGCAAACTCTCCAGATATTTATTAACAAGTCATTAATTTTGTGTACAGAAGGCAGTAGAGTCTCCAAGGACACCTTGTGTGCTTCAATAGAACTCAACCTCTGGCGTAGAGAACTGAACTTTTCAGGCCTAACCTAGAAAAAATTCCTCGTTAGCACAATTGTAATGCTGATTATTAGCAACAGAAAAAATACAAAACGAGTAGGGATGTACGTTTTGAAAGTTTTTGTGCAAGGTCATGGCAATAAGGATGGAAGGTTTAGGTAACGAAACCTACTACTATATTATTGACAGCTACCAGAGAAGTTGATTGCTATTCAAGTAACTGTTTGGAAATCGAATATATATATATATATATATATATATGGGAAAAAAGTTCTAGAAATCTATCTCTCCTTTGAACAATATATTACTACATAAACTTACTGCTTAAGCCTATTACTATCCCTATATATACTGCAGAAAAGCTGTAAAGAATATTTTTCATATATATGGTACCTAACATTCACGTGTTCTTGACCTTGATTGCTTCTGCTGGTTTCAACTCTAGCCTACCCCAACTTGTTTGGGACTTAAAGGCTTTGTTGTTGTTGTTGTGGTACCTAACATGTTTCCGAAGTGCATTGCTTGAGTGCATGACAAGAAGGGAAATACTTAAATCATGGATATAACATCTTCATGGTCAACATGTTAATAGGGTGGGCACACTTAAAACACCTTGTATCTTGTTGCATGTGAAATGCTGGGCTAACGTTCTGTAACTAATTTCACCCTTAGTTGCAACCAGTCGAGTTAAACCTATCCAAAGGGTAATACATAGACGATCTCGTGAGAAAGGGTATGAGAAAACATACATGTTCAGGAATATCAAGCGCAGAAATGATTGAATCTTTCTATCAGCAGCCATCATATGCAACACGTCCAAAGCCATGAGAGTGTTCTTCCGGCGTAACTGTTCATGATGCTCATTTTGGTTCTCAGTAGATCCCCTTTTAACATCTAAGTCCATAGGTTGTGGCCCATCAGTGGCATATACACTCTCTTGCCCCTCTGCCATCGCAGATGGAAAGCCACAATCCTCGAGTATGCTATCAATCAGTTTATTGACAACAGCCAACACAAACATAATGACAACATGTCCAAACTCCGTTCCAGAAAATCCATAAACCTTTGATAGTTGCAAAGCTTCAGCAATGGACTTCCCTATCCTGGGAAGTACAATAGTTACCTATGAGCAACTTCCAGTAGTGTATAGTACTATAGTGTACCACAGTTTAACGGTGAATAATAGATTCTGAGTATACTGAAAAGATGAAATCAGAAAACTTGAAGAGGAAAAAAAAAGCAACAAAAAAGTTCATGAGGGGGGAAACCCATATCATGACATTACAGAATGTATTAGGTATCCACAGATGAGCATAAATCTTGGCATAAGTATAAAACAAGAATAAAAAAAGTGTTAACATAGAGCATCACCATTGAACCCCAATCTTAAACATGTAGCTTGACCTCATAAGTCATAAGGCTATGTATTGTAATTTAATTGTACACTCCTGTTCAAAGTTTTAGATGCATATCAATCGAATTGAGAGCATAACAGGAAAATCTGAAAGAAAACTAGAGATACTGTGTATGGAATGTTAGCACTGAGTGGTGCAATTCAAGTTTCAAACATCCAGCTTGTCAGGAACGCTTCTACCTTTGATATGTGGCACAAAATCTATAGAATGCTGCACGCAATACATGAGGGATTATATCTAAACAGTAGAAAAGTACTGACACAAGACACCAGATGCTATGACTAAATCACACCTAGTGGTAGCACATTTCCTAGTTGATGAGGTCTTACTTGTCACGATTAGGCCCAGCCTCCATAGACAGCAACGACGACGTGACGTGACACTTGAGGAGCTCCAGGTACAGCCGGTACGCCTCAGGCTGCGCTCGCCGCTGCGGCAACACCCTGTGTGACAAAACCACCGCTGGATGAGTTACTCACACCCACAGGCCACGGAGACTTGGCCGGAGAGCACACAGACGAGCACCAATTCCAGCAAGCGCGGGGGCGGCGAAACGCGGAGGACGGGCGCACGCACCTAGGGGTGAGGAGCGCGAGGACGTGGAGCGGGCAGAGGAGGCGGGAGGCCACGGCCTGGCCCAGGAGCTTCCAGAGCGAGGGCGAGTTGTGCGCGAAGCAGAGGTTGGAGACGAGGATCCCGGCCAGGTCGGCGCTGGGGAGGGGCCCCGCGCCCGCGCCCTCCCCGGCGATGACGCGGGACAGCTCCACCGCCCGCAGCAGCGGCGAGTCCCCGCGCGCCTCCGACGCCTTCACCGCCGCCATCACCCGCCGCTCCAGGTCCGCGGGGACCAGCCCCGCCGCCGCCGTCGCCACGGTGGCGTCCTCGCCGAGGGTTTGGGTTCGGATTCTGCGTGCGGGCGGCTCGATTTTTTTTTTCTTCTCTCTCTGTTCCGGTCTCCCCCTCTCTGGACTGCGATCCGACGGACACTGGGTTCACTCGCGTGAAAAGGGGAGGGAGCTGAGAGGCGGAGGGTACAGTGCGGGAGACATCTGAGCCGTTGGATCCTCGCCAGTCGCCTTCGGTCGCGATCGTGGGAGACCAATTGACTTTGCTGCTAACGCGCAGCGCTCACTGATAGGTGGGGCCGTCATCAAGGACAAGCGTCGGGCTGACCATGAACTCTCCGCAATGATTCGATGGACTCGCTCCTGGTCCTAGGAATACACAGCCGCCAGTAGTAGTTGTGCTTTGCACCTGCACATCTTCGGGAAACGTGACGCATCCAAATGCGTCGCCGCTATGTCTGTTGGCCTCCAAATGGGTAAACCGGTGGTTGATTGATTGGTTCACTGGTTAACTAGCTTCTTTGGCTTGCAACTCTGCACTAAAAACGTCTCAGGGTTAAAGTTAAATTAAACTGATCAAGATGAAAGCGAAACCCATCACGCTGCGGTCGGCAAGGCATGTGATAGTCACGACCGAGTGTACGTGGCGGGAGCTATGGGATTGTTTGAGGTTAGCCATCGTCGTCGTTCTCGTCCATGTATCCTGTTTCGTGCATGAGCAGTTGAGGCTGTTGAGCACGCAACACGCAGTCCATTTGGCGCGTGAGATCGAGACGGGACCGTCCTTGGCTGGGGCGATTGCCACGTAACTTTACCTGTGGCAGACGTCGGCGATGACATACGCGGGCAGCCCCATTGGCTTGAACTTATCAGCCTAACTTATCAGACACGGAACAGGGTTTTTCTCTCACAATAAATCAGTTTCAGTCGACTTATCGATCGTAGAAACCATCGGCGAACAACTCCATGTCTTCACGCCATGTTCGCTTGGAGCAGAAGACGATAGGATCATTGACTTATTCGCATGGAAGTCGGAGGAGGTAGAGAAACGGTGATGGTCCGATTCCTCGCAAAAAAACATATGTTCTGAATATGTTCGCTATGCCGTTTTGAAAAACAAAATATTTCCATTATGATGATCGAAGCTTCTGCGTTAAATTGTACCGGTTGCTTGGCCAAACGGCCCATGGCCCCATACAAAATGTAGCCCAAGTGCCCAACTGATTGAAGTTCCTAGACCACTTTGGTCCATAAAGCAGAAGGCCCTCCTCTCTCAAAAAAAATAAATGTAAAAGCATAATGCCCAGATAGCATCATAGCAATCAGATCCGATCAAGGCAAATCCGCCGGAGCAAACCAAGGCAGAGTTTCAGAAACCCGAGAAGTGCGGCAATGCTTATAAGGAAGAAACGACATCCAAGAGCTCTTTTTATCTTGTGCTAAGAGCTTTCGAGCTGTTCTTAATCTGAATTTTGAGCAAGGTAGCATGGAACCGCAGATATGCAGTAATCACAACTTAAAAAACTAAAGAGTGAACACCGTTTTGGTGCGACAAAATTTCGCCTTACCATCGTCCCGACGGCCCTTGCGATCCCACGTACGCGAAGGAAAGCTGCCGGTCCCGTGCAATCCATTCTACCGCATTGTTGCCTTATTGGCCTCAAATGCCCGTGATAAACGCGTAGTCGGTCCGCTCGAAACGACACCTTCCTGAACTATCGGAGTCGATCACGGTAAAATAGGAAGTATTAGAAAACTATTGTGCTATCCATGTACGGATTGCATGTTTGCATGCAACACTGGCGTGTCGGATGGCTAACACGCATGGACGCCAAGCGTGGCAACGAGCCTCCGGTTACGACGCGGCGCTAATTAACCCAGCCCAACACTACTGTCGATGCGGGACCCACAGGATATCCCGCAAGAGAGAGAAGATCTAGTTCAACTAGGATTCTTCCCATGTAATCTTAGTAATAGAACTATTAAGTAATCCTACTAGGAAATCTCATTGTAAACCGATTAGGACTCCGGCCTCCTGAATATATAAAGGAGGCCAGGGCTCCTAAAGAAGGGACAATTGGTATGACATAACACTTCATAATCAATCCAACGCAAAAGGCAAACGCCGACTGGACGTAGGGTCGTTACTCGATCTACGATCGAGGGCCTGAACCAGGATAAATCGACTGTCTCTTGCGTTCACCATCGAGTTCAGCATACGCCGAGACCCGAACGATACTACCGCGGTACCCCCGTGGTAGGCTATCGATGGTAAAACATCGACAGCTGGCGCGCCAGGTAGGGGCCTTCGGCGACTTTGCATCCAAGAGCTCGATGGACCTCAATAACATGATCTTCCGATGGGATCGATTTTCATCTTGACTCGTCGTGGATCTGCGAGGCGGAACAACTTCTGACAAGCTTTAAAGTCATCTCCTCAAAGATCCGGATCATCATGAAGAATCCTCTATTTCGACAACTACGACGGATCAACTCATCGGAAGATTCGCGACTCACAATACCGATTCGAATAAGATTCCATCCGACTCGAATTCAAGCTCCGTGTCCAGAGATGAAGTCTTATTCGAGTGCTTTCAAGAAGTCGAGTTCTTGTTTGGCTAGATTCCGAATACAAACCAAAACAACTCGGATTACCCTCGAGTTTTTTCAAAAGGCCGAGTTCTTTTCCATTTGGGCTGGACAACACGGCAAAATCCTATCGGGGACGCTTTTGAAAGGTCTTTCAAATCAACACTTGGGATACCAGCAGCGAGGGGGCTCGGGAGGGCCTCGTTCTAACGATAACATCGCAAGATCAGATCATCCACCGGCGAGATCTGCTCACGAGGATAGCGAAACCCAACTAGTCGGCACAACGACAACAGCTATTCTACCTTACCAAGAGGAGACTCAATCTCGACGTCGAGGCGCTGCATCAAGTCATCGGCAACTCCGACGATGACAACAACTAACGACAATAACGGAACAGCTCACGCGACGGAAATATCGATGGTTCGACGCCCTCGGTCGCCATTAAACCCCGAAGCACCCGATGTCGGTCATCGGATGAATCGAATCCAACATATCACCCTTTGCTCGTGGCTACGATGGAGAAACCAAAAGTCGAGAGCAGGGCTCGAGAAAGGAAAAATAAGTTGAAACAAGGCGCCAAAGACCGCGCGCTCGACAAACAGAGAGAAGCTGGACTAGATACTGAGTCGAAATTGGTTTGAATCGACAAAAGAAAATCACAACAAGAGGTCGAAGGGAGACGACAAAGGAGTACGCCTTTACGATAAGATTCGAGAATCATTAGAAGAACTCGGGGCAACTTCATCATCACGGGGAGAAATACGAATCAGCTCCAGGACTTGCTCCGGTCAACGATCCCAAGAACACATGAAGAGAGAACCCGATCAAGAATACCTGTCAGATCAACAACCCATAGGCAAGAAGATCAAAATCAAAGAAAGTCCGCTTTTGAAAGACTTGGACCAAAGTAGGAAGCCATAACGGGAAAGCGAGGAGAGAACATAGTCGGGGCCATCAATTTGAATAACCAAGGAAGACCAGGAGTAGAGGGCCTACCCAGACATGACCTCGCAAATTATTCCCATCAAAACAACACTTGGCGGAAGAAGGAGCCGAATCCGAATTCAAGGAAGCGGAACGCATGATGATTCCCTGTTTTGCAAACAGGTTGGCATCAGTTCGATTACCTCACAAATTCAAACCGTCTAATCACTCCAAGTATGATGGCAAAACCGAACCAAGACAATGGCTCAGAATATATTCACAATCAATTGAACTAGCCGGAGGAGACGATGATATTAAAACCTTGTTCTTCCCCATGGCACTGGAAACGATGCCCCTCCAATGGTTTGATAAATTGAACCCAGGATCGATCAGAACTTGGGAAGACTTGCAAAGAGCTTTCTGCGAAAATTTCGCAGGTATCATCACACACCCGATCACTCATGCCGAACTGAAAGGACTCAAGCAAAAGGGGGGCGAAAGTCTCAGAAATTACTATCGGCGATTCGGTGAACTGCGGGCTCAAGTGCATGACATCACCGAACGAGAAGTAATTGAAGCTTTCTCTCATGGAATCATGGCTAGGTGGCAATTTCAAGATTTCTGCAGAGAAAATCCGAGAAACAATGAAGAATTCAGACGAACGGTAGAAAAAATGATTACTGCAGAAGAAAAAACACGAGAAAGGTTTCCGGATAGAAGCAATCAAGACAACCCGGATAGGCAAAATCATCGAAGCAACAGACATCAAGAAAGAAAGCGTAGACCAGACAATACCGTGGCAATGGCCGACAAATCAAAGAAGTTTTCTAAACCCAGAAGATATGAAGACATTGAAAACATACGTTGCCCATTACACCCTAACGGGAGACACACCATCTGAAACTGCTACACTTTCAATGATCGATACACAAGAAAAGATAGTAAGGAGAATACCAAAGAGGACAATCACAAGAAAGATGAAGACAACCACGAGGACAAAGGATTTCAAAACCGGGGGAACGGTAGCGATAATCTTCTCGGGAGCTCCAGTTGCACAAGCAAACGTCAAGAAAAACTAGCACTCTGAACCATCATGACAATGAGAACCGGCTACACCAAGATATATCTCAATTGGTCACAATATCCAATCCAATTTTCAAGAGAAGACCAATGGACTAGCGTGAGGGAACGCAGGCCATTACCCACTTGTTTTAGACCCAACTATTGCCGGATGATGACTTTGTCACCAAAGTACTAATCGATGGGGAGCTGGACTCAACATCATCTTTCGAAACTCTAAGGAAGATGGGACTACAACTCATTGGGATGATTACACCAACAAGCACTCCTTTTACGGAATAGTACCCGCAAAAAGCGACCATGCCACTCGGACAAGTTACTTTACCCGTCACTTTGAACTCCTGCGAACTATCGAGCGAGTTTATCAAATTTAAGGTTGC